TATGTAATAGAAGGGTTCCATACTTTGAATCTAAATAAATTTCCTTATTCTTTGTAAATATTTTTGTTCGTTATTTTATAATAAGAATTATTAATTAAGAATTTATTGATTGTTACTCCTATTCATTATTATTACTAATACTAATTTTTATTATTAATAGGTACTATTTCAAAATAACGAACAAAGCGCGTTTAGAAAGCGAGAAGTTTATTAGTAAGTAATTTAATAATATTTAATATAGCCTATTATCAAAAATTGCTGGTTTACCTTCTATGTTATACGTGTAACAAGCACTCAACTTTAAAAAAAAAAGTAAATCGTCCCCTTAGTGCCAAAACCGATTATCTGCACTTTTCCCTACTGATTTTTTATTATACCAATCGACCCGTCTCATTAAACCGCATCTACAGCTAAAACCCATTATGCTCGACGACGCATACTTTCTGAAATAGCTAGTGAAGAAACAGAATAACTGCAAATGATTTTCAAAATTCTTGTTATAAACCTAATAAGGCTATTTAAAACACTTAAGTTTGTAAATGTATTACCGCTGAAACCAAGTTTCGGTTAAGTTTCTCATTTTTCATATAGACACTTAGAGTTAATATCCTGTGAGATTATTCCGCTAAAATTAGCTATCCCACGGTAATTTGCGTTGACTGTTTAAATTTTGCCAGATATTTTAATTTTACTAGATTTAGTAAAAACTAACAAATCTGAGTCACTTTTTGCAAAAAAGATATAATATATTTGCAATATGCATTATCATTATCATATAATAAATTAGTAATCATTTTTTTTTGTCAAGATTATTATATGAAAAAACGAATAAATAAATAAAAAATGCCCGAAACATATTGATTAAATCCCAATTAAGCAAGTAGGGAAGAACACCCCAAGCAAAAAAAAAATGCACGGCAATCCTCAGAGCGGCAGTGCAATGTGCTGATTTATGATTTTGATTTTTTTTCTTAGCTAAGTAGGTACTTTTCTCTACCTTGGCCAAAAGAATTATTGAGTAATGGGCTCTATTACATGAAAAAAAATACAAAGTGGCATTTTATCATCCCGGTGACCTTTTCTAAACACAATAGGCTAGTTGACCCTTTTTGGAAAAAGGTTTTAAATGGTTAATAAATCTTCTATTAGACCGAAAAAAATGTATTGTATTTTTTTGAGACCTAGAAAGCTACAAATCTTTAATTTTAAAATAGACTTTTCATGGACATACAAAAACGCTGTCGGCCATTTTAGTCTATAGATTATCTATGCTATGACGTTGACGGTAGTAAACAAAAACTCGTAAGCACGTAGAAAATAACCTATCTGAGATTATAATAAAAAAAAAAATGATTTCTAATAGATACCACAAAAAATATAGTAATTATCATTATTGTATTGTACGAGAATGTAAAAACACATCCTTGAAGACTCCAGGAAAGTTGTGTGATTGTGTTGTGTGCCGAAAGAAATTAACCTACGCAATACCTGGTTAGAACTTGCTAAAAGTGATCCTGCACTTTATCGGCTCATAGCAAAATTTATTTTTGCGAAGATCACTTTGATGTAAGTACTCATTGAATAATATTTTAAGTCTATTCTATTCTAGTCTATTTATTATCAGTTTTAATAATACAAGTTTTAAAGTTATGTATGAATGACGTTTAGTTGTATAATAAAAGAGACGTCACAATCATGGCGGATGTGTCGAACAGCGGTTTTAGTGTTTATAAAGTATAGACTAAAAATTATTTTTTTAAATTAAATTTCTACCGCAATCTTCTGCTTTTATGAAGTGAAATAGATATATTTAGGTTTCTTAGACCAAATACTTTAAGAAATAAACATTTATGTAATACAATTCGACATGAGTCAACTAGCCTATTCCTCTCGTAAAATTACTTCCCCTGTAGTTATATTTATTTTTTGGATTGATATTTACTTTTATATCAATAATATGTAAAATAGCCTATCACCAAAAATTGCTGGTGTGTTTATCTTCTATGTTATACGTGTAACAAGCACTCAACTTTTGTCCTGGAAAAAGTTATCATTTCCACGGACAGTAATTTTTTGTGAAATAGCAAATCACGCACGCACGCACATCACGGCGTCATTGAAGAGGCTCGAGGTGTCTAGTCGCCTCCTTATCGGCAATAATGCGGATCGCGCGCCGCTGTAACCTATCAAAAGCATTGAAAAAGTACTTGGCGGTGCCATCCTCTGGGGTGCAAACTATATTCCCCGTAAGACCGTACTTGCGTCTTGTACAACAAGCACAGTTGCTCAGGCGTGAAAAAACGCCGCACTTTGTTCAGGACTCCGAGTTTGCGTGAGACTGTTTTTACAATGCTTTCGATGTAGTACTTTGAATTTAAGTCACAGCGAATAATTCACATACCGAGCATGGTAATATTGCTGTCTAGCGCCAGTGTTGTTCCCTGAAGAGAGGGAAGAAATGGTGACGTTTTACCGAGAAAGCGCAGACCTAGTCCAGGCACTTGGCACTGAACTCAATCAAGTTCTTGGTAGCCCATTCAGAAATGCAGTCCAAATCCCGATTGCGTTCAATGCTTGGATCTCTCCAAGCTAACTGTTAGATTTATGTGCCAGGCCCTATAAAAAACCTTGGTGATGTTAAGGCTGACATCCAAAGACTCCCCTCGCTTATCGATAGTCTCACCCCAGGTATATGCCACGTACAGTTGAAGGTCACCTGTCGATCAGGTGACCGCTATTAGCTGATAGTTGGTCGGGTAAGATCAGGTGACTTAGTTATTTGGCAGTTTTGAAGTTTATTTTTAATCGTGGTCATTCATAGCAGTTTTCATTTTAAACCAAATACGCAGAATAGTTCACCCGGTAATGTTTATTAGTGATTAATTAAAAAAAATAATAACAGTGTTGCCCAGCGCGTGATTCAACAATGAATGAATAAAATCGAGCAACTCGCTCGCTAGCACCCGATCTGTGTACGGAAGAGACGGTTAAACATGGATAGCTGATTTTAGCTGAAGCATAAATTTTAAACTAAAAGGAAGAAAATAGTAAGCACCGCTAATCGATTTTAGTTGAAGTAATTTATAAAGTAAAAGTTATTCAGTAAAAACAAATTAAAATTCGGTATCTTCTTTGACGTACCTCAAATATAACGCAAATATACTATTTATATTTGTTTTGCAAAAAGTGACTTAGACAATTATGTTAGTTTTTACTACATCTAGTAAAAAAAAATCTGGTAAAATTCAAACAGTCGAAGCCAAATATCAGTAATAGAGCCCATTACTCAATAATTCTTTTAGCCAAGTTAGAGAAAAGTACCTACTTAACTAAGAAAAAAAAAACAAAATCATAAATCAGCACATTGCACTGCCGCTCTGAGGATTGCTGTTTATTTTTTTTTGCTTGGGGTGTTCTTCCCTACTTGCTAAATTGGGATTTAATTAATATGTTTCGGACATTTTTTATTTATTTATTCGTTTTTTCATATAATAATCTTGACAAAAAAATTGATTACTAATTTATTATATGATAATGATAATGCATATTGAAATATATTATATCTTTTTTGCAAAAAGTGACTCAGATTTGTTAGTTTTTACTACATCTAGTAAAATTAAAATATCTGGCAAAATTCAAACAGTCAACGCAAATTACCATATGATACCTAATTTTAGCGGAATAATCTCACAGGATATTTACTCTATGTGTCTACATAAAAAATGAGTTCAAATCCGAAACTTGGTTTCAGCGGTAATATATTTACATACTTATGTGTTTTAAATGGATTTATTAGGTTTTTAATCAAGAAATTTGGAAATAACTTGCAGTTATTCTGTTTTTTCACTTTCTATTTCAGGAAGTATGCGTCATAGAGCATAATGGGTTTTACCTGTAGATGCAACTTAATGAGACGGGTCGATTGCTATAATAAAAGTTCAGTAGGGAAAAAGTGCAGATAATTGGTTTTGGCACTAATGGGACCATTTACTTACTAATAAAATTTCTCACTTTCTAAACGCGCTTTGTTCGTTATTTTGAAAATGTACCTATTAATAATTTTAATTACTATTAGTAATAATAATGAATAGGAGTAACAATTAATAAATTCTTAATTAATAATTCTTATTATAAAATAACGAACAAAAGTATTAACAAAGAATAAGGAAATTTATTTAGATTCAAAGTAGGGAACCCTTCTATTACATAGGCGATGTTCTTGGCTGTATCATTTCGGTGGTATTTTTTTTTTACCATTTCGGTAGACACTTTTCATTTCAGTGGACTCTCGAAAACGTATCTTTAAATATTTCTTTTTTCCACATGATGTGACCATATGTGACGCACGAGAGAGCTATGTGTTTCATAAAATTATTATGGTTAGAGCGAGAACGGTGTCGTCACATCACATCACATCGCGACACATAAGTATAAATATTTAACCGTACTAAATGTGTGAAACCGATCGCGTCACAAAAACACAACACGTAAGATAAATATAGTTCTGCCTTTACTCAGTCCTGTTTGAATTTTACGTCCATGGATGACAGTCTAATGTTTCTCTATCATTCCCTAATCTGTGGTTTTGGCTTAAGTCTATGGGTAATCCACAGACTGCAGACTGATAAGGTAATTTATTTATTTGTATAGCAACACTGAAATAAAAAAAGTTACGCTATGCATGTCTCGCTCTCACTCATCTCTCCCAGGTCACTGTGTTTAAAAGAAAAAAGAAGCAAATGTCTTTTTCAACAAGTGTCAATGTAAACAATTTATTAACTTCTAAAAGTAAGTCGGTAATAGGTAAGAGATATATTCGTATCTATTTAAATAAAACAGAAAAATTGGAACGAATAATATAATCTAAAGCTATTCTTATATCGATAGTACCTATTCATTAAAGCTCAATACCTATTAATATATTGAGTTTACTTAAACTTAATTTACGAATGTTTTAATAGTAAATGAAAACACATTATTTTGAAATATCGCTTTGTAAACGGGAAAATATGTAAAAAGAAATTTGTTAGGTACACCGTTTTGCACTTGGGTCGTATTGCCAGGTAGGTAGGTACTTGAGTGAGCAGCAAGCGCCACGGAGAGCAAACTGTTCTGCTAGCCTAGTAGCCGTCTATCGGCTGGCTGCTTTGGCTGCGTGCACAGTCTAGCTAGGTTGTGCTCAGCAAAATAGTCGTCCGTTTCGGTTCTCAGACGGTTATCGTTATCCGATCTGTTATCGTGCGGTGTTATGCTGTTGCAATAAATCCCAACAATAATAATCGAATCCATGTAAACATGAGTCTTGATGAGGCGCGGGTTACGCTCAGGTACCGCTAGTACGCGCATAAAAATGTGAAGTTTCAGATTTCTTTCTAGCTTGCTAAGGGTGTATGAGATAAATCTATTGTTCGAGGACTCTTGCTAATACTCAAATCGTCAGTTAGGCTTATAGAAATTAAGAACTATGCAACAATGTGGGTTTTGTTCAATGTTATCCGGCCTTTTGAGAAGAGCAATGTGTGTTGGAAGCAGACGTGGTAGTAGTGAATCTTACTACAGGGAGTTGGGAGACCAGGACACATTGGTAAACATTGCCTACAGATCTTTACATTATTTGACTAAACCTGAGTACTCGTTTGCATGTCTAGTTCATTCATTATTTACGATTTATTTTAATGATACGTGAGCGAGAATGACTATGTCCCACTATGACATCGGCTAAGTAGGTAATCAGAGTGTTTACTATATGTTGTGCTGTGAATTACTTTATTCTTTACTCCGTGTATGTTATGCTTGCCTTTTTAAACTCGTAATGCCTTGTGCTGTTTTCTGTCACGATCACACTGTATGGTAGAAAATACTGATGTGCTGTGCTAACTTGTCGCGAAGTGAAAGTAATGTAGAATTTCACTTGTTTTTTTTCTCTGTAGACAATTTAATTGTATTTGTAAGACCACGCAGGTTAAATAGTTTATTTACAGATTTAATATCACTCACATACATCCTAACGTAAATTATTAAATCAGATGATAACATACCCCTAATATGTTTTTCTGAATAATACAACTAACAATTTACTGTTGCTACTAAAATTATGTGACTTTTCGTTCATAATCATTGTCATTATCATTGACTTAACTGTTAAGTTTAAGCTCTCAAAGCCTTTTGGCTGTTAAATCTTATGATCATTAAAGTACACTTTTTCATATACATTGGAGATATTTAAAGTCAATCATGCAGCATGAAATATCATCTTTCTAAATTTTATACCTTTTGTGAAGTATCAGAGAATTTTTTTTAGGTTATGTTTCTTAATCATGTAACTATTTTTAATAGTCTTAATATTATACTAAATTTTAAATTCAGAAACAAATTCAAAATGAATTTTATACTGAGTTGAACATCAAATGATTATATTATTCAATAATTCCGATCCCCAGACGTTGTATATAATTATTATTACATTGTTAATTATAAGCATATAACTCCATGCAGTCAGAATTAAGAATTAATAAATAATGAAGTATCAGATTGGGTTATATTTGATTGTTGATTTGATTAGTTGATTGATTAGTTACTGCAAAATATAAACTAAACTTAAACGAACATATGCTTTACAATCCACCAGTTTTTGTCCGCACTGCTGAGGCAGTTCATTAATTAAAGAAACATATAGAAAAGACAATTAAGAATTTACATTTCGGACACTGGGCAGTTGAGTGATTTTAGTGCGACTAAGTCTTTGAGATAGGCTTAAAATATTGTCCGAGTATGGATATATTTTTAAAATATTATTGTTATTCTCTATGAATTGTTGGATTATAGTAAAAGTAAGAATATATTGATTAATAAAACACTTTTGGACTTTGAATAAAGAAATATAAAAAATAAATTAAATTATATCAGCTCACTTAGTTTGTTCAGTATCATGCCATTAATGCCAGCGCCTTGAAAAATGAAAATATTTACCTTATAGTAAAAGTTATATTTTTTTGAGTGTTTGTATGCATGAATGTATTTTTAATTTCTTAAGCATGTTCTGTAGTATAAACGGCTTGATAGATTTGTTCTGTGATGATGGGTGTATCAAAATAGTATTAAAATTAAGTTAGTTCAAAATCAGTGGCAGGATAAATATAACTTTATAAATTGATGTTTTTATTCTGTAGTAACTGAATTTATGAAGGACTTTTTTTGGTTACTGGCAGGGCCTCTATGTTTTTTAATATTTAAAATTTATACTGCTGATATTTGTAGGAAGTAGTAGATAGGTAATTTTTTATATTCCATTAGATGACAGTGATGGTTACATGAGGTTTATTTTATTGTTTTATTACAAAGAGTTTATGGTTTTTGAGATAATAATCTTTCAAGTGATGACCTCCTTGGCTAGTGGGGTTGCATGGGGTCACCTACTCAGAGGTCCAGGTTTTGAATCCCGTTGGGGCTTCAAAACCTGGACCTCTTAAAAAAGGATTAACTGCAGAGAGTGTATTTATTATACAGGAGAGCGACTTCAATGTAAAAATTAAATAATTTATGTGTTGCCCAACATATATTAATGAAACTTGGTAAAGTAGGTTATAATTACAGATTGGATAGTCTGATGCATATTTACCTAAAGTCGAGATTTTGGCTATTATGGAAATTAATTAATTTTTATGGAAAAGATCAGGCAATTCCGGAAAAAAAAATTTAAGTGCTTATTTCATGAGATCTATTAAACCTGGTTTAACACAAATGATAGTTACCCTTAAATAAATATAATATAAATATTTCCAACACTCACACCAATTAGCCTAGTCCCAAAGTAAGCGCTGTAAGGCTTGTGTTATGGGATACTAGGGTAACGGATAGATTACATATAAGTATATTTATATAGAAATAAATATTAAACATCCATAACTGCTCCTATTCATCACACTAATATCTGCCCCCATCGGGATTCGAACCCGGGACCTCTCGAGTAGGCGACACCATGAAACCCGGTGTACAAACCACTCGGAGGTCATCAAATACCCTGTGTGTATAACATGAAAATATTGTATAAGATGTTCTTAATGAGTAATTTAAAAATATATTCATTAATTATGTTTTCTTATTGACCACACCACCATTTCTCTTACACCTTACATACAGACATACCCAAATGGGGAAATTAAAAAATAAATTTTAGTATTCAATTACATACATTTGATTAGTTTTGCGAAACCGGAATCCCGAGATTTTATTTATAATAAAAATATCCTGAGAATTTAATTTTGTTAGCCCAAAACAACTTTAGGTAAATATGCATCGGATCATCCGATCTCTAGTTATGTGCATATCTTCATTACCTATATGGTGATATCTATTTGATTGATATCTGATTAGGTAATGATACTACTTGGGGGGCGTCCATAAATTACGTGAGGTGTTTTTTTGAATTTTCTCTCCCTCCCCCCCTGGTGAGATGTCGTGAGATTTTATTCACCCCCTCCCCCAACCCCCAATCTCACGTGAGATTTTTCAAAATGTGGGTTTCTTACGTAAACGCGTTGAATTGTTATTGTAAAAAGAATAAAAAATCTGTTGGCCGTGTCGAATTTTCTCTAACCTTTCTTAGTCTGCAAGGCAGCGCCACTCTTCGCATTGTAGGTAACCCACAATGTCAAATTAATACCTTTATAAGTATTAAACATTTGAAAGAAGAAATAGTAATTATAGTATTTTTTTTTTTAAAATCGCACCTCCGCGAAAATTACCCCCCCCCTGCCCGGATGACGGCTTCCATACGCTCCCTCATTGATCTTACCAATTTTAGGAGTTCTTCTTCTATACTGGCCCATTCCTCATTAATGGCCTCTTCTAGCTCCTGGTGCTCTTTTGGGTTCAGGTGTGGACTTTTCGCTGGCCACTGCATGACAGAGATCTCAACCTCTTGAAGGTAGTCGCGCACAAGTAATGCAGTGTGAGCGCGCGCGTTATCGTGCGTTAAAGTGAACCCATCGCCAACAAAAACGGCATCACAGAGATCCTGTAAGAGCATGTGGTCCATCCACATGCTATTCCAAGATCTCTGTGACTTACCGATGAGAAGTCAGCGACCATTGCCCGCGAGCACCTCTGGTCCGGAAGAATCTTACAAGGTCGGTTTTCCTGTCCGAACACATATAGGAACCGCCCCCGTATTCCACCGTCTCTTGGATGCAGGCTTGAGCGACACATTTTACCCCTGTCTTCTGTACACTCTTCTGTGTTTATCGTTGCAGAAAAGGCACACTCGTCTCGATCGACGTGGTTACGAGCAAACTGCAAGTCGCATTTTGGACTCGTAGCAGCTCTTATCTAAATGATCGTAATGCATGGACATAGTGTTTCTTATAATTTGATATTAAATGGGTATTACTCATTTTTCATAACAGTAATATTGTACCTATCTAATGCCGCTTCCTATATACTACTTAAAATGTTAACTATAAAATTAATTGTAACTACATATTTATATTCTAGATGATGTAATGGAAAGTGACTTCAGACGTATTTCTGAAGTAATTTTTCAACTTGACGACACTGTATATAACAATACAGGGAGAAAAAAACAGCCCTTGCTGAGTTTCTTGCCGGTTCTTCTCAGTACAAGGTCTCCCGCCGTAGTTTTGCGAACCGATGGCGTAGCTTCTTGACCTTCACAAGTGCTTGTAACAGCCTAGACTGAATAAATGACATTTCATTTCATTTCTCTATGAGCCGCTATCTTCTTCTCCCTCAGTCTTCGTCTAACCGTAGAAACGCTCATGATTGTTCTACGAGCTGTCTGGAGATGCTGTTGAACTCTACAGAATTAGAGAACCGAGTCGATATGATGAATCGGTCGTCTCTCCCCGAGGTGCAGCGACGTCTACCAGTCCCATGCTTTCTTACATGGCGACCAGTCTCTAGGAACCGCTGGTATACTCTTCGAACCGAAAAATGGCTCATGTTCAGTTTCCGAGCAAGATCACACAGCTGCATCCCTGATTGCAGTAGTGCAATCACTTGAGCCGCTTCATCAGCAGTGGTATCCATTTTCAAGGTGGTTTTCTTTGTGAAAGATCTTCTCGTGTGTCCTCTTCAACTGTTAATAGCGAATAACCTCCCTTTTATATCCACTAAAGATAGCGCAACTAGACCCTTTTGAGGAGCAAAATTGGCTTTTTTTTTTAAAGTCACATTTGTGGTATCAAGCATTTTTGTACTGAAATTAAATGTTTTTTTTTAGTTTATTTAATGGGCTTTCAAATGACACCAGTATTGGCGGGGGGTACATGCACTTGTTAAGGGTTAATAACGCTTGAAAGTAATTTTCGCGTAAATGCGATTTTTTGACGCCGCGGTGCACTCGGCGCGCCGAGTGTATATTGATTATTAAATGTATTCGTCTTAACCAGTCTACAATTTTATCCAGTGCCAAAAATTATTTTGTAGTACTTTTATTAAAAAAAAAATACAGTGCTGTCATCAGCAAACTGTACTTATCATTACTGAAGATACCACTTCGGGGAAGTCATTATTTATGCTAGGAGTAGTGGTGGCCCAACACTACCTTGAGGAACACCATAATGT